ACAAAATGATATTGGAACGGTATAAAGCATATTTTTTGCTATCTCTAAGGAATAATTAATCTTGGCTTATTTTATTCTTATAATTCTCGACCTGAATTGCTTGGATATGCTGATGCTGGGTATTTATCTGAATTGCTTGGATATGCTGATGCTGGGTATTTATCTGACCCGCATAAAGCAAGGTCTCAAACTGGTTATTTATTTACATGTGGTCTGACCCGCATAAAGCAAGGTCTCAAACTGGTTATTTATTTACATGTGGTGATACCGCTATTTCATGGCGATCTGCGAAGCAATTAATTACTGTTACTTCTTTAAATCATGCTGAAATAATAGCAATTCATGAAGCCAGTCGAGAATGTATTTGGCTAAGGTCAATGATCCACTATATCCGGAAGAATAGTGGATTGTCTCCTGAAAATAAAAATCCTCCGACTATTTTGTTTGAAGACAATGCAGCTTGTATAGCTCAATTAAAAGGAGGATATATTAAAGGAGATAGAACGAAACACATTTCACCAAAATTCTTCTTTACACATGATTTGCAAAAGAATGGTGAAATCGTTGTGTAACAAATCTGATCGAGTGATAATCTGGTAGATTTTTTCACCAAGGCATTACCGACTGTAACTTTTTAGAAATTGGTAAAAAATATTGGAATGCATCGGTTGAAAGATCTCAAATGATATTTGAATTGGTGGGAGAAACTAATACACAAGAATAGTGTATTCTTTTTCCTTCACTAGGATTTTTTTCCCACCGGGTTTTTTCCTAGTAAGGTTTTAACGAGGCATATTCTTTGTGTAATGTTGGACATCCAAGGGGGAGTGTTATGAAACAATTAAATAATGTGGATATCCATTTAGTTTTCCAAAGAGATTGATACATGCATTACCCCTTGGTATTCTCTATGAGTAATTAATATGATTCATGTATCATCATCTTAGTTTGTATATAAATAGAGGTATTCCTACCTCACTTTGCAAGAAGAAATTGAGAAAATAAAATTCTTTCTACTTCTTGTCTACTTTCTCTACTCTACTTTATTAGTTTTATAACATTAAATTAATTTTAAACTGTATTGATGCGGCATAAACATGTAGCAAAAATGTTACAAGTGCACAACCGTGTCAAGTTATAGTATAAAGATATCGATCCCACGAGGAAGGTGTTTTGTAGGAGAAAATATAAAATCGGTTCTTATGTTGTGTGCGTGACAAATAGGAGTGATGAGTGAATATGATTATGGAGAGATGGAGAGAATGAAAATGATTGTGTAAATGAATATATTTGAGAGTGGAAGTGATAATACAAATGTGATCAACAAGGCAAGAAGGAAAAATCAAGAACAAATAAAAATCAAGAATGTAAAGATAGCAGATTTAATTAAAGATATGGGTAATCTAGAATTGAATCCACTTCTTAGAAAAAGGTGATTCCCTAGAGGGTTCTAGCCTAAAGGCGAATCAAAGAAAATAAAAATGAATAAAAAGAAAAACTAAACCCAAGAGGGTTCTAGCCTCAAGGTAAATAGTGCAAGAAATTAAAATCTAACTACAAAATAAATTGTAAAATCTAAACTATAAAATAAATTGTAAGAATTAAATACAAGAAAATAAATCTACTTTATAAGCATGAAATAAATCTAATCTATAAGCATGAAATAAATCTAAGGCAAGAGGGTTCTAGCCTTTTGGCTATTTAAACAAAAAAATAAAATCTAATTACAAGCATAAAAATAAATCTAAACTAATAAGCAATAAAAGAGAAATAAGAAAAACAAACCTTCAAATTACACTACAACAGACAGGTCTTTTAGCGACAAACTTTTTTGCGAGAAAATTATTTTCCTCAACAAATATCACTTTCGACGAGAAAAAAATTGTTTCCTCGGTAAATATCAGTAGGTCTTCTACGATGAATATATTTTCCTCACATTAGACCACCTTCTACGATGAAAATTTTAGTTCCTCACTTAAGATGATCATGATTTGGTCTCCTAACTAGTTATTTTATTGGCGAGGAAATATGAGATTTTGGTGATGAATCCTAACTAGTTATTTTATTGGCGAGGAAATATGAGATTTTGGTGATGAACTTTTACATCGCGAAATGCACATTTAACGAGGAAATAATCATTTCTGAGATTTTGGTGATGAACTTTTACATCGCGAAATGCACATTTAACGAGGAAATAATCATTTCATCGCTATTCTTTTGGCAAAAAATAAAGGAAAATCTGCCAAATGTAACAACGACAAAGTATGATTTTCTCGCTAAAGATCCATAATTTGCGAGGAACCGTTTCCTCATCAAAAGAATCAATTAGTGAGGAAATAATAGTTTTCTCATTATTAGTTTGGTGGGAAATAAAAAACCTCACCAATTTCAATGGTGACAAATTTAAGGCTTCCTCGCTAAAAGTTTTTGTTTTTACAATGAACCGTTTCCACGTTAAAAAGAACCTATTAGCGAGAAAATTATAGTTTCCTCACTATTAATTTGGCGAAAAAATTTGCAACACCTGCCAAATTCATTGACGACAAATTAAAGGTTTCCTCGCTAAAATTTTTGTTTTACGAGGAACTGTTTCCTCGTTAAAAAACTAATTAGCAAGAAAATAATAGTTTCCTCATTATTAGTTTGGCGGAAAAATGTGCAAAACCCGTCAATTTCAATAGCAACAAATTTAAGGCTTCATCGCTAAAAGTTTTTGTTTTACGAGAAACCGTTTTGTCGTAAAAAAGAACCTATTAGCGAGGAAATTATAGTTTCCTCATTATTAATTCGGCGGAAAAATATGCAACACCCACCAAATTCATTGATGATAAATTGAAGGTTTCCTCACTAATTTTTTTTGTTTTACGAGGAACCCTTTCCTCGTTAAAAGAATCAATTACCGAGGAAATAATAGTTTCCTCATTATTAGTTTGGCGGAAAAATATGCAAAACCTACCAAATTTAATGGCGACAAATTTAAGGCTTCCTCGCTAAAAGATTTTGTTTTGCGAGAAATCATTTCCTTGTTAAAAAACCAATCAGCAAGGAAATAATAATATCCTCATTATTTGTTGGAAAAAATTTTGGTGGGAATTTTGGTAAAAAGTAGGCGGGTACTCAAAGAAAAGAGCGGGCCTCTAATATCAATGGCCTAACAAATGTCCATATACAAGTCAATAATCATGGGCCAATTTAGATTTTTTTTTTTTGAATAAATGTCCAGCACGAGGTAAAGCTCCAGTATGGATAAAAATAAGGATTTGGTTTGTCTGGTTGATGGTTCCTTTTTGTAGGTTTTTGCACAATTCACATGAAGATTAACAACCAATTAATATTTATTCAGGTTCAAAGGGATCTCAATGATAAAGGATTGCTCACAAATCTAATAAGATTTAAACAATTAGCGATTTTTGAATATACATTTATTTCAGACTTCAGAAATTAGATTATGTTAATAGATAATATTGACTTCTGAAAATAGATTACTCGAGTGGGATATTGCGGGAACATCTCAAATGGATGGCTCTCATTATCGAGTGGGAGGTTGAGAAGAAGGTGGATTATTTATAACTTATGATATTATCATCACGTTATTTTTCATTTATATATTATCATCGCACATACTAATAAAGTACTTTATTTTGTAGAAAATATGTAAGACGACATCAGCGAATCGTAGATCGAAGCTATACGATCACTTTTTAGGATCTACTTCTTATGCTCGAATCGAGCATAAGTATTTGAGTGTTTTGCATCATAAGTACTTGAATTGGATCCCGTGAAGTTGTGCTATGATTTACAGCATATCACATGACGCTTTGACTATGCTTTGACTATGCCCCGACTCTTCTTAATAATTTCTCATCAATTTTTCTAATTTTTATGATATATGATATACAGGCGGCGGTGGAAGCTTCTCAAAACGATGTCTTGACCCGTGTCAGCTAGTCTCAGGGCACAGAGGACACCTCACTAGTACAAAATAGGATAGCCCAAACGGTTCTTGTAAACGTTTGGGCAAATGAAAACAGCTTAAACGGTTGAAGATGTTTAACACAGATAAGTTAAACCGTTTGGATGTTTTAATTATTATTAATTTTTAAAATAAAACATCTCTCTTTCTCCCTTCTCTTCCTTAAGCAAAAATTCCACCCCAAAAATTTTCACCCGACTCTAAAACCCCCGTACCTCTCAACAAAAATTCCGACTCTAAACCCCCCAAAATTTCCCCTCAATCTCTCAAATCCCTCATCTCAGACTCCTAAGAATCCACCTCAAATCCTTCATCTCATCGTCGTCGTCTTCATCCCCTCAAATCCCTCATCTCAAACCCTAATCTTCCAAGAATTCGCTCCCTCTGGCGCCTCTGCCTCCGACGCCAAGGACCCTAACGCCGACCATGTTGCGCCTCTCTTCATCGGTCCTCCCCCGCGCTCGATCCACCACCGTCCTATCACTGTCCTGCGGCTTCGAGCGCGCCTATGACATCTTCTCCCGGGGCAAGCTAGCGTCTCCGATCCGTCGTCGTCAAACCCTAACTTCACCATCATCACCGGAATCAACCTCAACCACGACGACATCGCCGGTTATCTCTCCGAGGAGCTCGGCCTCCTCTCCAATCCCACGCTGTTTCATATCAACTCAAGTCGATTCTGCGGCAAGATTCCCCACAAGTTCGAAGCTCCTCTTCAAGCTCGACATTAGCAACAATCGATTCGCCGGGAAATTTCCGAGGGTAGTTCTCCGGCTACCATCGTTGAGGTACCTGGATCTGAGATACAATGAGTTCGAGGGCTCACTCCCCAGCGAACTATTCGATAAGAATCTCGATGCGATTTTTATCACTAATATCCATTTCGTTATCAATATCTCGAAAATTTTCTCAATATACAGCTTACAGTACCTCTTGTTTGAAGATTTGAAAAGCCTATACTTGCATTGCTGAGGCACTGCATGTTGTAATTTTATTGAGAACGTCATCTTTTGTGTTTAAACATGCAGAAAGCTTGCTGTAAATGTTCAATGCCTATTTCAGAAGATGACCGTGTGCGACCAAATTTAGGTACAATTACTTCTACTTTCATGATGTTATCTGATATTGAATTTACATATAATAAACTTTGCTGATACGGAAGCGTAGCCAAAAATGATGCTTCTAAATAAAGGGGAAAAAGAGCAAGATGAAGAGTGCTATTTAGTTACCTATCTGTGGTTGTATATTGCTAAATATTAACTACTAATATGTGTGACCTATATGATTTCTACATTGCAGTATCTTGACCATCTTTTTTCTTGTTCAAAATGTTATTTATGACTTTTCGTCTATCTCTGTTTGCTTCTCACTTTCCTAGCTTGTGATTTATGTCGGTATGTATTTGCCAGGGATATTTTTTGAGTGTTCATGAGGATGTAACCAAACAATTTTGATTATCCAAGTTATTTGTTTAATGTAGAGCACTCTTAAGGATTATTGACATGCTCTGAATTATGTTTACCTTTTCTTTGACTCTGCTGGCAACCCATGCCCATTGATGTATTTCTTTTCCTTTCACATTCATATTACTTATATGATTATGAGAATTTGTCTTGTTATTCTTGCTATAGTAATTTTAAACTCGTGAATTCTCTGTTTCTTCAGATATCTACAGCTCTACGTTCTGCTGTTCAAGCATTTCGCAGAGAGGAGGAACAAACCTCAAAAGTGGCTAAAAGAAGAAGAGACAGATTTGAGCAGGTGATTGTCTTGGGATTTTTGTTTTTCCAGCTTTGCATGTAGTAATTTACAGTCCTCTGTTACTTCTTTACAATTTATAAAAAAGTCCTTTTTTAGGATAAATGTAGTCCCAATGATCCATATCCTATGTGTTCTCTGTTTAATCTATTACTACATTTTATCAATTAAACTGACATCCAAAAATTCACAATGATTGCAAACAAATTTCGTTTGCAGATGCCACTTATTGCTAATTTGTTTATGCACTATTTTCTATTGGAAGAAGATTGGAAACAAATTTATCAACCAGGTACACTACCATATATAGTTCACATTGAACCATGGTTTCTGAATGTTGTTGATTGCACTTTTGAGTAATTCCATTCTAAAGCATATAATGTTAATTGCATTTATGTGTTTTTAGGACACAAAATGTATGTACACCTGCTTCATATGATGTAAAGACTACTTAAAGATGTTAGTTCTTTGCAAACTTGAGGAAATTAAGTTTTAGCTAGTATAGTTTTAGTTCTTAACAAATAGAGAAATGTAGAGCATTTTGAATCCCTTGTATTATTAGAAAGTATGTCTATGAAGCTTATTTACTTCAATTTGCATCCCACAAATGGAAAATTATTTTTTGATGTTTTTTCCAAAGACTACTGGAGGGAACTTCAGTCTCATCTTTTCAAATTGTTGGACGAAAGGGATAAATCTGTTTCAATCATCAAGGAGGTTCATACATGCGACTCTTTTTATTCTCAATGCACTCCAAGATGCTTCTTGATTTGTAACCAATGACCATGTCTAACTGTTAACTCGGTAAATTAAATACCATGGAGTAGGAGACCATTCAATTTAAATTCATAATATATATATAGGTTTTACATTGATGGTACTGACCTTAAGCATTTGGAAGCATGAATGCCATTACTCACACATGGACAGTCACAGAATGTGCACGTGCACATAGATCTAAGTTAGAATTTACAAGAATGGAGGCAATTATGCTAGTTTCTTCCCATAAGTACCCAACAGTGTGTTCCATCTTTTCTAGAAGGAAGTGTTGAACATTTTAGGTATCAACAGTATTTCACCTCTTGGAAGATTCTTATTGTGCACCATGTGCAAACTACAACCTCAAACTTGCCTTTTCATGAAGTAGTCAAAGTTGCAGGCATTTTTCCTTCATAATATTACAGTAGATATGAAGGACTTGATTTCTGGGTCTTCTATAGGGTTCATGACTTAACATGTCTTACTATCTGTCAGCATTTGATCTATTACATTAATTTTAGATTTGTGTGGCTAGACTTCCATTTATTGAATATCATGTTCACTTTTTTCACGTAACCTCTTTAATTAATAATAATTACCAACAGGGTAGGATCCCAAGTTTCATACCTTTCAGTGACGTGTTTTGATCAGTTCATGAACTCAATTCCATTCTCTAGCCTCCCTATAGTTAAGATCAAAGTCAGCACAAAAGATTTCCTTGTCGCCAACATTGACAAAATGAAGGTCGCTCTATCATCTAATCAATTGTTTGTGGAAATTACAGTAACACGCATATACTTGTACTATAATTATCTACTTTACATAGCATTGGTAATAATTAACTTCTTATGTGACTAACCTTTGATTGCATGTAATGAACTATGTAGGACATATTGTTTGAAAGTTCGAAACTGGACGTGATTCGGCCTTGTTATGAAGCTGCATTGGGGTTTTATTCACTGGAGGATGTACTCATCGTTGAAATTCCATGTAGAGGTTGCTCCAACTTTTAACATTTGAATGTCCTCTATATAATATAGTAGACCAGTTTGACCATTATTTATGTCTTCTACCGAATTCCTTTTATTAGGCTTTTATTTTTTTAGTTTTCTATTTCTCCCGAACTTATTGCTCTTATCATGCAGCCATGCCAGGACCACCGTCCTCCACTAAGATGCAGTGCTCCTCAGAAGTTGAAAAGCATGTGGGAAAATGGAAGAAGATTGAAAAAGCAGATGTGGAGAACTTGATAAAAAAGAATGCAGGTTAGTGATGATTTGTTTTGCTAAAGGCATTATATTAATTGCTTTGATTTGTTATATTTAGTTTGACATGAAATTATGCTTGTGCATAATAAGTTTGAATTTGACATGTCGCTCCCTTGGGTCCAAAGATATGTAATTACAACATGTCAGACCGTATATTGTAATTTTTGCTATAAGTTGAAGAAACATTTTGAGCAGTTTTTAACAATTGAGGAGGCAATTAAAAACAAACATGAAGCCGTCAAGACTCGGGAAGAATGAGAGTTTCTTTGCACTCATTTTTCTAGTGAAAAGTTTAAGGTACAATATCTTTTTTTTATTTTTCTCCACGCATTACATTTTTACTTTTTTCATTTACTTCTTTCTAATTATATGTCTTAATAATTTTAAATTCGCTCAGAGAAGAATGTTCTTAATAGGTCAAAGTTGACATATCACCACAAAGCTGGGTCAAAATCATTTATGTCACACTAAAGATGATTATATTGATTAGGTTGTAATTGAGAAGTTGCATATGATTGAACTGGATATATTTTTTTTACTTATAGGAACAAATGATAAAGATGCGAGCAGATACCACTCAACCTGTTGGAACTCGAACAATGACAGATGAGAAAATTTGTGCAAAAGTTCTCAAAGTCAAATGAGGCTACATTAAGGGCTGTGGTTTTGGCCCTAGACCACCATCATTAAGGTTCTTTCGTTCTTCAATGAGTGAAATGTTTGAAAAGAATAAAGAGTTGCAAGAACAGCTTCAAGAGACCCAACAACTTGTAGGAACTCAACAACAAAAGATGAATGCGTAAAATAAGGTAATCAAAAGATTGGAGGAGCAAGCCAAAAAGTTTGAGGAGTTTATGGCTAATTTTTCCAGGCAACATCCATCAGCTTAGTATTCTTAGTGAACTTAAACTTGGAGAAATGTTTCTTTGATTGTGTTGCATTTGTTATTATTTTAGACTAGCATTGTTATTTATGAAAGAAACTTGCTTGTTTTATTTATTTTAATTGTTTTGATGTACTGTGGTGATAATTGATGATAATTATTTATATTTTGAGCATTTTTCTCGTAATAGCATTATTATTGCTGAAATAAAATTTCCTCATTATAAGTATACTTCTTACGTCGTCAAAAGAATATTTCATCGTTATAGAGTATATTGCTTACGTCGACAAAAACATATTTCCTCGCTATAGTGATACAACCTATAACGACAAAAGTAATTTTCCTCGCTATAGACCATATAACCTATATCGACAAATATAAATTTCCTCGTAATTGAATTTCTTTGGTGAGGAATACGAGGTACAACCTACAACGACAAATTTAAATTTCCTCGTCTTTGATTCCCTTTACTGAGGAATTGTTTCCACGAGAAAAAGATAAATATAATGAAGAAAATTAATTTCCTCGTTAAAGATTTGCCTTTGGTGAGGAACAGTTTCCTCGCTAAAAGATACTTACAACAACAAAAATAGTTTTTTTAGAACTTTTATTATATATAAATTAAATATTATTCACGTATCATTAGCGAGGAAACTGTAGTTTAGCGATGAAAAAGGTATGAGATTTGGTGAGGAAAAATATCGAGGCTAAAGAGTAACAACGAGAAAAGAATATATTCATCGCAAAAAGGATTTCGCGAGAAATTATAATATTCCTCGCAGAAACTTTTCTTGACCACCCTACCGTGAGGAAATGGTGACCAAAGTTTTTTCCTCGCCAACACACTACGGCGAGGAAATCATGACTTTCAACGACAAACTTGTTCCTCGCGGATTAGCTTTTTTGTTGTAGTGTTAATCTCCATCTTCATCTTCATCATCCAACAAAGAGAAGAAGAGAAAAATTTAAAGTAGTAAAAAAATTATTTTATTAATTGTAACAAAAAGTTACAAATTTGGAAGGCCTTTTTAATTAAGAATAGTCCTCCTCTCCAAAAGGAGTTACAAAAATTTTCACCCCCTCAACCCCTTACTCTCTACCTCTATTTATAGTAAACAACAATGAATGAGAGCCCTTGGATGAAGATTTAAGCCCTAAGGAATCATTTTTAGCCTTTGAGCTTTTGGGCTTGAATTCTTGGACCTTTTGCTTGTTTTCTTCATTAATTCAATGAGCTTTTGCTGAAAGAAGAGATCTTGAGCTTTATTCTTTATTAACCTTCAAATTCTTCCCATAATTACTTCTCCAGCATAGAAATTCAGATCGTGTTTCTTTGTACGAATATTTGTCCATGATATGTTTCGATTTTAGAGATGCCATAAATACAAAAGTTATAGATCTCGTTCTTAGCTTTCTAGAGAATGTTTATTCAGCCAATTCTGAGTTGATACGAAAGAGATATGGCCAACATACCAAACATTACCGAGATATCCAGATTGCATGGTTTGTTTCTTTTTTCACAAAACTTCTTCATTTGTTCATTGATGGTATATTTATTTTTCTTGGGCTTTTTGGCTTGGACTTTTGGACATTTTCTTAACAATTTGGGCTTCAATGCTTCATTAAATATTGAAAGAAATTATTTGGCTTCATGGGCTTCATTCTTTTGCTTTTGGCTTTGGGCTTTGGTGTTAAATCAAGGGGCTTTTGTTGAGAGATGAGAATTTGAGATTTATTCTTCATTAACCTGCAATTAAAGATAAAAACAATTATTAGTGGTATATTTATTCATATCAAATAGATAATAATGGTATAAAATTATAATAAAATATGATTATCATGTATTTCAGCAGTTTGATATACACTATAATTTATTATATATTATAGGTACTTGTTAATATTTTTATTTACACTATTAGATATGATGTATTTTTAAACCAAATGCTTAAACAAGCTTTCCCTATTAATGGCAATGACCCAGCATCACAAACTTTTGATAGGGTTTTTTTTCTATAAGCCCAAAGTTTCATTCCAGTTTATCTTGAAGTTCACCCGCTTATGAAAATGTTTTTTGCCATTAAATACATATTCTTACCCCTATTTATTATCAGATCAATCTAGTTTCAAATATACTAACACAACATATTCCACCTAATTAATTTTAAAGCCACTACATATTTTAATTATTTGGTATATGGTGTAAGGTGGGCTAAATACCCATATTGGTAT